GGAGCCCGGACTCCTGGACGGGCTATACCACCTGGCACCGAGCGGGACCCCCAGCCCCGCCGCGCCGCTGCTCCTCTGCGCCCCGCCCCCCAGCTCGGGGCCAGCCCAGCTAGGCAAGGGCACCTTGTTCCCGTTGTGAAGCCCACGGGGCTGCCGCCCGCAGATGGCCTTGGGCGCTCTGGCGTCCAAAGCCCTGCCACACCAGACCTCAGACCGGAAGTGGCCTTCAGAGGGGGCATCCAAGACCCCTGAGCTGATGGAGCTCAGGAGTGGCTGCCTACTCCTCCCCTCCCCTGCCAAGGCGTTCCCCTTTCCCAGGCGTTCCCAGGGCGTGGTGTGTTTGTGTATGTGTGTATGCAGGCAAGCAAATACTTACAAGCGAAGGGTCTTAGGAGCCGACCGGAGGAGGTGCCGGGCCTCCCCTGGCGCAGCAGGGCACAAGGCTGCTCCCAGAGATGGCAAGCTGTCTCCCTGCGGCGCGCCCAAGCGGAGACAGAGCAGGCCGTCGGGCACTGCGGCGACGCAGGGGAAGGGCTCTGGCTAGCATCTCTTCTTCCCAAGAGGAGCTGAGCTTTGACTTGGGAGGCAAGCGGGAGAAGCGGCCAGTGCAGGCCCCCAGGCAGGCTGGGTCTGAGAAAGGAGCCAGGCAGATGGCAGGTGGAGATGGAGTGAGGAAGTAACAGGGAAGGGCTGTGGAGCTGGAATGTGGGGTGGGAGGACTGGGCATGAGGTGGGCCGAGGGGCTGTGCCTCCAGCTGGCAGCCCCCACTCAGCCAGCCCAAAGCCAGGCTGGCTCCTCCTGGGGCCAAGGGCGGGGGCTTCCGCCCTTCTCCCCCAGGTAGAGGCTGATGAAATGAGTCAGCAGGAAGGACTTAGGAGAGGGAGGGAGGTTGGGCTGTTGTCCCGAGGGGCCTCTGACCCCTCTAGGTGGCTGGGGTCTCAGCAGGTGATACGGCAGTAATGCCCAGAGAGGCCAGTCTCACAGGCGGAAAGGGACATGACCCAGCGTCCGGGCTCCAGTTGCCCTGAGAGCACAGGAGCCGGAGGGGGGAGGTGGTCAGTGTGCAGTTCTCAGCCTGCAGTGGCTGGGTCTTGCTGGACTGGTATGTGACATGAGGAGGCCGGGGAGGGCACTGTCAGGGATGGGGGTGCATGGTTCTCGTTCCAGGCCTGCGAGGGGGTGGTGCCTTGGAGTCCTTGTCCCTCTGCCCTGGATTGGAGACTGACCAGGACAGCAGTGATTCCTAATCCCTTCTTGTCCAGACTCTGGACCTGATGGCATGGAGGGCCCTTGGCTAGCCCTGGGCACCTCACCCTCATCCTGTTGTGCAATAAATCGCTGACCCACGGAGCCACGATGGCTGAAATGACTGGTGTATGGTCTATGATTTCCTGCTGCAGCCTCTTAGTGCCCCACAATGCCCTTCCATGCCTGGGTACCGTATGGGTGGAGGGGACGCTAGGGACAGAGACCAGGTATGCTTCCACACACTGTGGGTCCCCTGCCTCAGCGAATTTGTCCCCTAGAAAGGGAGCCCGAGACTGGCAACCACATCTGCGCCTTCATTCCTGCTGGTGGCTGAGTGGCCACAGGACTAGGGTCAGGCTTAGGCGCTGATCTCAGCAGGACCCCTCTGTGTGACTCTGGATTTGCCACTTTGAGCTTCTGTGTCCTCAGGAGAAAAAAAGATAACCTTCGCTAACCGTCTCCTCCCACAGGGTGCTCTGCACAGTGCCTGCCACCGGCCAGGTCACAGGGGCAGGGGGAGTCGCCCCCACGCATCCTTGTCCCAGCCTGGCACGTCCCCTGGCCTCACTGCTCCCTGCAAAATGGGGCTGTGAGCTGGGGACAGGGTCTCGCTAGAGGGAGTGTACACGTGGCATCTCCAGGGCCCAGGGAGAGGGGGAGGGGGTGAGAGGGGTGAGGTGTCGGTTCCCCATTGGTCTGGGCCAGTAGCGGTCCCCACTGCATTCAAGCACTCGCACACCTGCAGCCCAACCGCAGCCACACCCGCGAAGCTGCCTCCAGAGGCCATGAGGCTGCCACTGCCACTGCTGCTGCTGGGAGCCTGGGTCGTGTCAGGGAGCCTCGCGGACAGGGTCTCCCTCAGTGCCACTGCCCCCCAGATGGATGAGGAGGAGAAGTACTCAGCTCACATGCCCACTCACTTGCGCTGTGACGCCTGCAAGGCAGTGGCCTACCAGGTGAGTCTCCCCATGGCAGCCACCCTGCACCTGTCCAGACCCCTCCTTCAACCTCAGATCCCACCTCTAACTGGCAATCCCCAGCCCCACCCTTCCATGATACTGCATCCCCACCTCATTGGAACCCCCGTGCCTCAGTTTATCCACCTGCCTGCCCAACAGAGTGGGTGAACTGGGACGGTGTCTTGAAACCCCAGGGAATCAGTCACCTGCTTGTTCTCAGATTCCTCCCTTTCCAGACCGGCCCAGAGCTGACTGGGGTACACATGTGTTGACTGCATGTGTGTGTCGGAGCTCACACATGCACCTGGTGAGCACACCTCTGTGCCTGGGTGTGCGCAGGGCTTGTGAAGACGTGTGCTCTTGAAGAGAGAGCTCTGGGCTTTTCCTCTCTGTGTTCTTGTGGTTTTCAACAGCAAATACTACTGGGCAGGTGTACCTTGCAGGGGGAGCCCCAGTGCCCAGCTCCAGGGACCACCTTAGCATTTCTGCCCCCCCATCCCAGGGACATGGGTCTCCACTGGCCTGGTGACAGTTTTGGGGAGCCAAGGGAGGGGCCCACCGCCTGCCTCACAGATGCTTCCTGCCGCAGGGCTCCGTTGCCTGCCCGTTCTCCCCAGAGACTGGGGTTCCTGTCCTCTCCTCCCCGCTTCCTCCACCAACTGCTCAGCAGTCCTGTAGCCCTGGCTCCCAGCCCCTCCTTGTTCCAGATGTGGAAATATCTGGAAAAAGCAGAGGCCAAACTTCATCCCGGAGATTCCTGGGAGCGGCAGGAGCTGAGTGAGTCAGTGTACACGGACGTCCTGGACCGGAGCTGCTCCCAGGACTGGCAGGAGTGAGTCCCAATCTGGTCCTTGCCTCCCTCCTCTTGGGCAGGGCAAGGGGGGTGGGAGCCCCCACTCTCCTGCTCTCCCCGCATGCACCCAGGGCTCTGCTCCAAGGGAAAAGGCTGGCTGACTGGAGTCTTGGTTCTGGAGCTGTGAGCAAGGGGAGAGCAGGTGTCCTGCCGGCAAAGTCACTGTGTGACCTTGGACCAGGGACGTTCCTTCTCTGAGCTCAGCAAAAGCACAGTGGGCCTAGCTTGTTGTGGAGACACGGCCCTCCCTACTGGGCTCCCACTAACACTGTACCTCTCTGTTTGCCACTGCCACCAGCTATGGGGTCCAAGAAGTGAACCATGTGAACCGTCTCACTGGCCCAGGGCTTAGCGAGGAGCCAGGGTTAAGCATCAAAGTGATGATCAGAGGAGGCCCCTGGCCCAACAGGTGATGATGACGTGGCTGGGGATGGGATGGAGTCCTTGGAGCCTCTGGCTACCCCTGGGCAGAGGCTCTTCCCAGGGCCTGGGCAGTCTGTGAGGTGCCTGCTGGGCTCCCCCAGGCTCTCCAAGACCTGTCTGCAGTACCTCGGGGAGTTCGGAGAGGAGCGGATCTATGAAGCCCACCGCCAAGGCCAGGAGACTCTGGAGGCCCTGCTGTGCGGGGGCTCCCAGGGAGCCTGCTCGGAGGAGGCACCTGTCCCAAGGGAAGAGCTCTAGTCCTCCTGTCTTGCCCCTGAATAGCCATCGGCCCTCCTGCGGATCTCCCGCATCCCTTCCTGCAGGCCAGGTGGCCTGTAGGGCAGGGAGCCCTTGCCCTGCGCTGCCTCCCACGCTCGCGATTGCACTGGGACCTGGGCAAGAAACAAGGCCTTCCCCTCTGGACTCAAATAAAACCCAGTGACCTTAACTCCTCTCTGCGAAAGGTGCCTTGGGACTGAGGTGGGGCAGGCATGGGTGTTGCTGTGGCCAGTGCTGCCCTGCAGGGAGAGGCACAGGCAAGCAGCCATGTCCCTGTGGGCACTGCAGGTCTCAGAGCCATCATGAGGGAAAAGAAAACCAAGGACACACCTATGCCATCACTCCACGCTATCTGTGCCACTCCCAGAGACACATCTCAGCCTCTGCCACTCACCTCTGCCCTCTGCCTCTGTCCCCGGCTGGGTATCTGCCTGGGACAGGGCAGGGCAGGGCAGGGTGGGACCAGCTGGGTTCAGTGCCTTGGCTCAGGGCTGCTCTCTCAGAAATGCTTTGGGCTCTGAGGCCCCACCTGGGTCTGGACCCCGAGTGGACACATGACAACTTGGCAGTTTTCTTTGTGTCTCTGATCTGCTGAAGCTGGGTGTGTGTGTGTGAGCATTAGTGAGTCAGTGTGTGTATGAATGTGTGTGAGTGTCAGTGTATGTGTATGACTGAGTGTGTGTGTACAGAACCACACTTTACTCCCCATTTGACATGCAGAAACCAAGGTTTAAAAAAGAGAGGCCAGGTCCCGGGACTTGGAGGGGTTTGGGGGGCACAGATGAGGGGCAGCAGGAACAGAGCCCCAGGCCGGCCCTAAGAAGCATAGTTTCCCTGGGTGTCCCCGCCCCTCACAGGGCATCACTTGTTCCAGGATGTGCCCGTGGCCCCTCCTACTCTGGCCTGCACCCCAGGAGAGAAGCCCTAGGCATGACGAGGAGGGTCAGGCCCAGGAGCCAGCTAAGCTCTGGGCAGCGACAGGAGTGGGGCTGGGCCTGGGTGCCCCTGCAGAGTGAGTTAGGCACTGCACCACTGTGTACACGCCTGTGGTTCCTTTTGTGGGACACACGCACTTCCAGGCCTTGTCTCTGTGTGTGTTGGGGGGGTTGAGAGTTGGCAAGGGGTGGGGCTCGGCGTCCACAGCCCCCTGGGGAGTGCAGGGCGGGAGGAAGGAGAGGGAGGTGCTGAGGAGTTGTCCAGGCTGGGAACTAGTCAGACGGCTTTGGGAGCCTGAGCGCAGGAGCCGTGAGGGACAGAAGAGGACAGACAGAGCAAGGGCTGGTGGCCGGACGGACTCGGGGCCGTGGCATGAAGCTGCTGCCCAGCTGGAGAGCGGTGCTGGCCGGGGGTCCCGAGGGCAGGGCCTGGCCATGGGCACAGCGACCCAGAAGTAGGTGGGCTGTCGGTCGGCTGGGGGTGGGGCGACCCAGACAGGAGCAGACCCGGGGCCTCAGCACAGATCCTAGCGGCCAAGGAGCCTCAGCTCCTCCGCCCCTCCCCATTTCCCCCTGTCCACAGCCCTTGGGCCTGCCAGAAGGGCCGGGCACTGGCCTGGCTGCCTGGGCTGTGTAACAAGGGCCCCAAGTTGTTTTGTACTGGGTCCCAGCTGGGAGGGGCACAGGCCAGGCGGGCCAGCCTAGGCAGCTCTGTGTGCAGAGGCCTCTCTGTCCCCGGCCTCGGGGACCTGGAAGACCCCGGGGGATGGTGTAGGGGAGACCATTCAGGTCGATCTGCATTTGAGGACTGGTTTGCTAAACCTCGCTGCTTGTGTGGCCTTGGTCGAACCCTGCCTCTGGAATGTGTCTCGTGGCTGTGGCAGGAGTTACCAGCACCCAGCACCAGGGGCTGCCCACAACAATGCCTGTGTGTTCCTGGCAGTGGTGATCAGTCCTCAATAAGGAGAATGGCTATACAGATGAAGATAACGATCAGCTTGTCATCGATAATTGGGAATGGCCTCTGCCAGGGAGTCACATACCCAGCACCCCTGTTCCCATTTGCTTTGCTGTTACCTCACCCGGGGCTTGGCAAACGTTCAAGACTGTCCCTTCCTCACCCCTTGGAAAACAAAGCAGGTCCCGCGGCCAGGTGGGGGCCAGGACAGGAGTGCTCTGGAGACAACCGTGGCGGAGGCCGGGTGGCCAGGGTTAATACCTCACCTTTCGCAATCCCGAGCTGGGGATCTGGTTACAGATTTACTTCGAACAATGTCTGATGTGTGGAGTAAAGTCCTCCTCGGCCTTTGCAAAGTCGTCCCTTCTCCCCAGGAGCCCCTCCGAGCAGTGCTCCAAACATGAGCGCCCAGCAGGACGCCGCGGGTCAGCCACAGGTGCTGCGGGATGGGGGGAGCAGGGTGGGGGCTGCAGGGGCTGTCAGGCCTGCTCGAGAGGGCAGACAAAGCTCTGCTGAACTTGACAGTGACTGTCCCAAGCTGAGTGTGGCCTCTGGGGGGTGGGGGGGTGGCTGTGTGTGGAGGATTGGCGGTGAATGAGCTTCGGCTTCGGGACTGGCTGACTCCAGCTAGTGGGGACAGGTGGGGTCCAGCCTCCCCAGCAATACTCCAAGGACCTCCAGTGGCAGAAGTGAGGACCAGGGTAGGCACCTCTCCTGGTGCCCCCAGGTGCTCTGAATTAGGGACCCAGTCCCCCTGGCTAAAATGTCCTAGTTCTGAGGGCTCTAGGAGCCAGCACATTGGACTCACCCCTGCCAGAAGCAATATGAGGTGGGAGCCAGGTGAGGCCAGGGTGAATGATGACTGGCCACATGGACTGTGGGGGGTCAGGGGGGACCCCAGGCTCAGACCCCTGCTGAGCTGCTGCCTGGCTTATTTGGGGCAGAATGGGCTTTGCCTGTCCTCACCTCTCCACCCTTATCCACTCCTCTCTGCTGCCCCCAGCATGCGGCCCGGGGCTCAGCAGAGGCTCCCCCAGCGGACCCCCAGGTGTCCCTGCCCACACAGCCCAAGTTTGACATGTTGTACAAGATTGAGGACACGCCGCCTTGGTACCTGTGCATTCTTCTAGGCTTCCAGGTGAGCCTCGCCAGGGTCTCCCCTACCCCTACTCCGCACACTCCCCAAGGATCCCAGCCCCATCCTGGTCAAGGTTATCTCAGGCAACAGGAAGTGTAACCTTAGGTCAGCACAGTGGCTGTCCCCAGGCAGGGGTGGGAAAGGAGCCTGAGAGCTTGGGAGCAGGTGACAGGGGCCAGGAGCCCCTGCAGGAAGCCATGCCTGCCACCTGGGGGCGGGGGGTGGTGGTAGTTAGTGGCCCAGAGAAAGGAGTGCCTGGTACACGCGGGGAATGCCTTGCGTGGGGTGGCCGTCCTGCACGGGCACGCGGCCAGGGCAGCAGGGCAGGCAGGTGCCTGGTTCGTGGCAAGCTCCGCGGGGGCCCTGCCTCACGCCCCGCGCGCCCGGCCTCCTCCTGCCCCAGCATTACCTGACATGCTTCAGCGGCACCATCGCCGTGCCCTTCCTCCTGGCCGAGGCACTGTGTGTGGGCCAGGACCAGTACATGGTCAGTCAGCTCATCGGCACCATCTTCGTGTGCGTTGGCATCACCACCCTCTTGCAGACCACGCTGGGAATCCGGTAAGTCCCCCCGACTGCGCACGCACACATACACGCTTGCGCACTATGCACCATGCAGCGGGACTAGGTGGGCCCTCTTGGAACCACAGCGCTCTCTGCGCCCCACCTGCTCCTGCAGCTCCCAGGCCAGCCTTAACGGCAGTGGGCAGCTGAGCTGCTACCCTGGTCCCCTGGATTTAGCGGCCTGCCCGGGCGCCCCACAAGGACGAGGAGTCTGTGGGTTTAAGTGAATGTGCCCTGGCTGGGTTCTGCTAAGCCCTGCCCTGCACAGTCAGCACCACCGCTTCCCAGCCCAAATGGCTCAGGAGGTCCTGTTCCGGCCTCCCCCAGGTATGTGTAGCCCCAGGCCTGGGTGGCAGGGATGGTGGTTTGAGTGGCGGGGGATAAGGGCCAGGGGACAGGTTGCCCAATGCCAGAGCTGTGCACCACAGTGCACAGAGGAAAGGAAGCGGGTGTTGAGCTGATGTTCTTTCCCCCTTGGGCCCAGAAGACATTAGACGCGGCTGCCTGGGGCCTCACGACTTGCCGGCGCCCTGCCTTACCCTACCCTGTCCTTTTGTGCCTCTGTCCCCATCTCCCTGCCTCTCTCCGTAATCCTCCTCCACCCCCCTACCCCCAGGCTGCCACTGTTCCAGGCCAGTGCGTTTGCATTTCTGGTTCCAGCCAAAGCCATCCTCTCCCTGGAAAGATGGAAGTGTCCCCCGGAAGGTGGGCACCCTGCTGGGGTCTGTGCTGGAGGAGAGGGGCCCCCAGGGGCCTGGAGGTCTGGGCACCTGTCCCAAGCTCAGGCCCTGGGCGCATTCATGGCAGCGTCTTCTCTGCCTCTGTCTCGGTGTCCTGTGAGTGTCCCTGTCTCTGCCCCCAGAGGAGATCTACGGTAACTGGAGTCTGCCTCTGAACACCTCCCATATCTGGCACCCACGGATGCGAGAGGTGGGTTTGCACGTGAGGTCGAAGAGGCTGGAACTGGAGGAGGGAGCAAGGGCCACTGTTGAGTTGAGGGGTTCAAGGAGGTTGTCCACAAACTTCATCCTGCTAGCGGTGGCATCATGGCCTTTACATAGTGACTTATAGCTGATCTTTGCCCCTCCAGATCCAAGGTGCAATCATGGTGTCCAGTGTGGTGGAGGTGGTGATCGGACTGCTGGGACTGCCTGGGGCCCTGCTCAGCTACATCGGGCCTCTCACGGTCACCCCCACTGTCTCCCTCATTGGCCTGTCAGTCTTCCAAACAGCCGGTGAACGGGCTGGCTCCCATTGGGGCATCTCAGCTTGGTGAGCAGGCACCAGGCCTGACCCCTGCCCAACCCCAGGCCCCATACCCATACCCGCTTCATGTCCTGACCCCTCATTTCTGGCCCCAGCCTGACCTACCAGCCACCTCCTCCTTGTGCCTCTGCTCCCCAGCGCCATTCTCCTGATCGTCCTCTTCTCCCAGTACCTGCGCAACTTCGCGTTGCTGCTGCCCGTGTACCGCTGGGGCAAGGGCTTCACTCTCTTTCGCATCCAGATCTTCAAGATGTTTCCTGTAAGGACCTGGCTGGTGGTTGGGGCTGGACCTGGGCCGGGGACCAAGGTGGGGCAAGGGCGAGGGACAGCATTGGAGTGAGAGGCAGCCGGAGATGCTGTCCCAGCTGGGGCTGGGGCTGGGGCTGGGCTGGGGGCGAAGCAGGAGCTGGTGACCCTGGACCAAAGCCTCCAGTGCCTTCAGTGCCGCCTCTCGCCCCGCTTCAGATTGTGTTGGCCATCATGACGGTGTGGCTGCTTTGTTATATCCTCACCATCACGAATGTGCTGCCCAGAGACTCCACGGCCTATGGCTTCCAGGCACGGACTGACGCCCGTGGGGAGATCATGGCTATTGCACCCTGGATCCGCCTCCCCTACCCTTGTGAGCAACCCCACTTGGGCCCCTCTGCCTCTCTCTGAGTCTACCTGTGAGACCCCTGGTGCCCCACTGGAGCTGCGTGTGACCCTCATAGCCTCCCCCGGTGATGCCTCCCCCCACCCCACCCCCGTGCCCTGCCCATCCCCCACCCCCTGCACTCTCCTTGCTCTTCAGCCTCCTGTCTTCCCCCGACCCAGGTCAGTGGGGCCTGCCCACAGTGACTGTGGCTGCTGTCTTGGGAATGTTCAGTGCCACCTTGGCAGGCATCATCGAATCCATTGGAGATTATTACGCTTGCGCCCGGCTGGCTGGTGCGCCGCCCCCTCCGGTACATGCCATCAACAGGTGTGCCACCTGCCCCCTCACTGTTGGAGCCGCTCAGGCAGCAAATGAGGGAAGGGGTTGAGTCCCAGAGGCGCAGACGCGGCCAAGTTCCTAGCACTCCCCAGACCTCATTTTCTTGGCTTATGTAATGGGGATGCTCTCTGACTCACTCTGGCTGCTGGGAGGAGCTGAGACTGACAGGCTCCCCCGCCCAGTCTTGCCTGCTCTTCTGGGATCTGCTGATAACCATCCTGAGGCCGGGCTGTCATTATCCCTATTTTATAGATAAGGATATTGAAGTCTAGAACTATCCAAGGGAGTAGGCGCCTGGCTCCCAGACTCACCTCTGGCCCGGCAGTGGCTGTGGGCACCAGCCACGGTGATGCCTACTCACCCATCCCTCCTTACAGGGGTATCTTCACCGAAGGTGTCTGTTGCATTATCGCGGGGCTGCTGGGTACGGGCAATGGGTCCACTTCGTCCAGCCCCAACATCGGCGTCCTGGGGATTACCAAGGTGCGGCCGGGAGCCTGGGTGGCACACAGCTTCTGCCCCCATTCCGTGGGCCACAGGCCTTGTCCCAGCCTAGCCTTACCCTGTCTTTGTGGGGGAGGTCTCGCCCCTACACCCAGGCCCCCCACCCCTGGAACAAAGCCCGCGTGTGCCTGGTCCTGGCTGTAGCCCTGGCTCCCCCATGCCCCACAGGTGGGCAGCCGGCGCGTGGTACAGTTCGGCGCTGGTATCATGCTGATCCTGGGCATCATTGGCAAGTTCACGGCCCTCTTTGCCTCGCTCCCTGACCCCATCCTGGGGGGTATGTTCTGCACCCTCTTCGGTGAGTGCCAGGCATGGGTCCGGGCACGACGCAGGAGGCGGGACGCTCGTGCTGTGCCCACCAGGCCGCTATCAGCTCCTATGTGCCTGCAGGCATGATTACCGCCGTGGGCCTGTCCAACCTGCAGTTCGTGGATATGAACTCCTCCCGCAACCTCTTCGTGCTCGGATTTTCCATCTTCTTCGGGCTCACACTGCCCAATTACCTGGATTCCAACCCCGGAGCCATCAACACAGGTGCCTCCTGCTGTTGGCTGTCTCCAGAGTTGGGATGGGTACTTGGAAACTTTTAAAGGCTCCACCTAGCTGGCGCCACCAATCCCTGCGTCTCTGGGTGTCAGGCCCTTGAGGGGCTCACTGGGCGCTGTCCTCGACTGAGGCGCTTTCTGTGGAGGGGGACTGAGCGCTTGTATGTGTGCTCCTTTCATTTTCCAAGTTATCACGCCCATTTTGCAGGTGGGGAGCATGAGACTCAGAGAAATGAGGTGATTTGTCTCAGGTCAACCAGCAGGACTAGGAGCTGGATCCCGATGGGAGAGAGGGATAGAGACAGGCTTGAAAGCCAGAGCTGGGAACCAATTCAGTGCCGGGACTGACCAGGAAGCAGCAGGCTGCACCGGTGGGATGTCTGAGCGCTGCCTTCCAGATGGGGCCGTGGCACCCACCAGCCCTTGGCCTTCCCACAGGCATTACTGAAGTGGACCAGATTCTTACTGTGCTGCTGACCACGGAGATGTTTGTGGGCGGGAGCATTGCTTTCATACTGGACAACACGGTACCAGGTACGAGTCAGTCCTGGGAGGGCAACCCAGAACTAGGCTGGACTCCTATGTACTCCACCAGATGGCCTGAGCTGGAGCTCTGGCCAGATCCTGTGTGATCCTGGCCCTGGAGGGAGGGACCCAGGCCCAGACATGCATGGTAGTTCTTGAAGGGAGAGGTCAGGAGTCAGTTCTGGGTCCTGTGAGTTCTTTATTCATGATAGTCCCTGGGCTGAAGGGTTCTTTGGTGTCTTACTGTAGGACAGGTAGAAATGGAGAACGTGTGTGGGTACAAGGCACTGCAGACATCAGCAGCCGGCCACACTGGCAGGCAGAAAGGCTGCAACACTTCCCTCTGCTATCAGCAGTCTTTGCAGGGACAGGAAGGGAACTTGGTGGCATCCCAGAGAACCCTCTTGCTAATATATATGGAGGTACTTCAAAAAGTGCATGCAAAATAGAATTTAAAAAAGCAAGTTCATCTTCATGCAAAAAAATGTTGAAATTCATAGTTTTATCATAATACATTTTCCATGAACTCTTTGAGGACCTCTGGTGTATGTGCCCAATAAATGTTATCAGGTGCTCGTAATAAGTTATCATTTACTGAACACTTAATATGGGCCAAGTATGGAGCTTGCGAAGATACTCATTTCACCTTCAAAAACTATGGCCACAAAGTGATACGTCACAAAATTAAAATGTTGCAATTCTAGGTCCTGAACATCCTGCCTAGGCAGGTAACAAACCCTGTCCCAGCCACTGCACCTCACTGCCTCTGTAGGAGGGGTTCAGGAGGCTGGAGAAGGTTCTGGAGAGATAGGAGTTAATGCCTACATCCGTGTAAGGACACAGGGATGGAAGTGGCAGGATGATGGCCCTCCATCCCAGCCACTGACCAGCCTGAGCACAGCCACAGGTTCTGCCCACATCCCTCTCTCTCTGAAGACACCAGAGCGCTTGTGTTCAGCATAGGAGTCAGAGGCTGGGCACAGCCGGGCCAGGGGAGGGGAGGGTCAGGGCTCACCTGGGGATTTTTAGGTAGACTCAGAGGGGGTCCCAAGGGGCAGCTGTCCTTTGGATATTTGAGAACTCAACCATGGTACCCAGTCATTCCCATTTAGAGGTAGCTGGGCTGTAGTTTGGAGCAGCTCACCCCCCATCTCCTGATAGCCAAGTGGCAGCCTCCAGGCCTAGAGCATCCGAGGCCATCTGGGTGGGGCCGAATTCATTTTGGTGCACAGAACTTTTGAAATCCTTTTCATACTATACATTTTATATGGAATCTTTGAAGACTGCATATGGGTTACACCACATAATCAGTAGTCCTAAGCAGCTTGGAGTGGTTGAGTCACTCGCCTATGGTCACACGAGCCGGATTCAAACCCAGGTCTGGCTGGCTGTGAATGTAGTTCTTAGCTGTGGAATAGCACAGCTTCCTTCCACCCTTAATTTGCTGATGGGCCACTCTGCCCTTGCTCTCTCCTTACTGAGCCACAGCCCACCCAGAAAGGACAGTTTAGTTGAGCAAATGCTGGTGGAGCTTTACCAGTCTGTCCCTAAATTAGACCCAGTGGAGGATCCACAAAAGTGTAAGTCTGTTTTTAAGGAACTCCTGGCATGAGACAAAGTAAAACGGGATTTACGTTAGGAATAAAACCAGCAAGCCTAAGCTGGGGTCATCTGAAAGGCTTCCTGGATGGGGGACACTGGAGGGTGGGGGTGAGGGGGTGCTTGGAGAAACACAGGAAGTGTGTAGTGCAGGTGAGGTTGGGGAGGGAGCTCAAGTTGGCTGTTGTGTGGTCCTGACAGTGGTGGGAGGGTAATTAGACACCAAGTGCATAGTCTGTGCTACGCCCTCAGCTTTTGCATCCATCTGCCCACCTGTGCCGTGTGCAGCCGGGCCTGCTCAGACGGTGCCTTCTCTGAGACTCTGGGGCACATTGGGGCCCATGGAAATCCCTCACTTCTTCCATCAGATTTATTGTCACAGCCTCTGTCAGTCCCAGCCCTGAGAGAACCTGGACTCTCATGTGCTGCCCCCCCCCCAAGGGACAATCCTATTTGTAAAAATCTCTCAGTGTGTCCTTACCCTCAAAGATTGATCTTCCAAGGTTTATATTATAAAACATGAGTTTATCCCCCAAATGTGGAACCATAATAGTGAAGATTAATATGGATTCCGGTGTTGCAAAGAATTCTTGCCCAGCCCCAGAGCATAATCCCCACTGCTCGGTTCTCATGGCCCAGCACACACCTGCAGACGGATCCTGCACTGTCCTGTTTCTCCATCTTACCTAAGTTTTGTCTAACAGTGCCTGTCAGAGGTATGGTTCTGAAGAAAGGACATGAAATTAAAGTGTTCCACACAGAGCTTGGCACACTGTAGTTATATAGTAAAGACTGACTGGTATCCTCCAGGGTTCCCTGAAGCTCTGGCAAAGGCAGCTCAGAAATCAGATGCACTTTTTAGGACCAGCTGGTACTTCCTTCCAGAACTGTGCCTGCCGATTAGGATACGGACTGGCTAATGACCCCACTGTCCTTCTCCAGGGAGCCCAGAGGAACGAGGTCTGATACAGTGGAAAGCTGGGGCCCATGCCAACAGTGAGACGTCTGCCAGCCTCAAGAGCTATGACTTCCCCATTGGGATGGGCACAGTAAAAAGGATTGCTTTTCTGAGATACATTCCTATCTGCCCAGTCTTCAAAGGATTTTCTCCAAGGTCAAAAGATCAACATTCAGTTCCAGAAGATACTCCCAGAAACACAGAAAGTGGGTCTGTGTGCACCAAGGTCTGAAACACTACTTCCAGGAAAGGTAGGCTTTCTTGGGCTGTTGTTTAAGGGTTAAATAGCCAAAACACTCTTCTGTTTTAGCCAAAGGAAAACCTGAACTGGCAGTTTCCTCTTTGTGACCTTTTGGCATGTCCTCAGGGGGAAGGTGGACTGTGTGCAAGCAAAATAAGCATACGGGTTCTGGGTAGAAGTCCTTGACTTCATATAGTGAGAACAGAACTTCCTGATGGGATGGGCCACTGAGAGGTTGTAAGTACGCTGAGATACTGATCCCTTCGGTCTTCCAGGTACCCCTCGGCAGAACCCAGGCCAGCTGGAGGCCCTGGCCTAGTCACTGCAGCCACAGGCAACTTCAGCTTTGCACTCCAGTAGGCTAAACAAATACCACTTTGATATCTGCCATGGCAGAAGCTGAGAAGTAATGACACAGCAAAAATCCTCATACACGCTGCCTTGTTTCAACAGCGGTCATAAAATTAAAATCCTCTCAAACAGGATGGATGGCTTGAGTTACCTTAAAACTATACCAGCAGCGGTCTTACTCTTTTGTCCCCAGGGCTTCAAAACGGATGGGCAGCTAATGCGCTGCAGCTTCCCTTTCTCCATCTGTAATACAGATGCCTGGCTTCCTAGTTAAACATTGAAGTGCTGTCACTGTGCCTGTCCCCTCAGAGGCAAAAGTGCAAACCAAAAAAGAATTTTGCCTAGGCTCTATTAGTAATAACCACAGCAATCAGCAATCACTTAAACAGGACTTTCTGTGTGCCAGGACTGCTGCAAGAGCCTGATGGATATTAACCCATCCCACAATGCAGAGATCCAGAGACAGAGTAGAGGTTGAGTACCCTTCTATGAAATGCTTCAGACCAGAAGTATTTCAGATTTCAGAGCTTTTTGGATTCTGGAATATTTGCATAGCCGAGCATCCCTAATATCAAAATCTGATGTCTAGAACTTTTTAAGCAGCATGTCAGCACTCAAGATTTCTGGCTTCATTTCTGTTTTTGTACTGTGGACACCCAATCTTCCCATTTTATAGAGGTGGCAGCAAAGGCACAAAGGTTAAGTGACGTGCTTGTGACCAATGGGGTCACATCCAGGAAATGTGACTTGAGTTCCTCCTCTTAATCTCCAATTATACTGCACCACAGTAATTTGGCTGTGTGCAGAAATAAACTCATTTGCCTCTTTCTGATTTCATAAAGAAAGGATTTGTAAGTTTTATAAACAGGGCAGTTTGCTATGCCACTTGTAGGACTGTCAGAGAACAGAGGGACTGACTGCTCGTATCACAGATCCAAGAAGAGTAAGAGTCAAGCATGGCTGTCTCTGCCTTAGGGCCTCTTTATTTATTTTAAAGATTTATTTTATTTATTTGAAAGAGTTAGAGAGAAAGGTGGAGCCAGAGAGAGAGAGAGAGAGAGAGAGAGAGAGAGAGAGAGAGAGGTCTTCCATCTGCTGGTTCACTCCACAAATGACCGCAACAGCTAGAGTTGAGCTGATCTGAAGCCAGGAGCCAGGAGCTTCTTCTGTGTCTCCACGCGGGTGCAGGAGCCCAAGGACTTGGGCCATCTTCTACTGCTTTCCCAGCCCATAGCAGACAGCTGGATCAACAGTGCAACAGCTGGGACTTGAACCTGTGCTCATTTGGGATGCCAGCACTGCAGGCTGGGGCTTTAACCTGCTGCATCACGGCTCCATTAGGGCCTCTTTAAAAACCCACCTATTTATTAGTCTGCTAAGGCAGTTACTAAAAATCACCAGGGCACAGGTGTCCTTGACTCCCCACAAAGAACCTGAGCCAATGACAGGTGTTGTGGGTTAAGCCATCTGCATCCCTTCTTTGAGTGCTGCTGAGTTTCAGAAAGTCCACTTCCAATCCAGGTTTTTGTGTGGCAGCACACGATGGCTCCAAAGAGGGCCCCAAATGCCCATGTAGGAGATCTGGACAGAGTTCTGGGCTCCTGGCTCTGGCCTGGCCCATCTCTGGCTGTTGCAGGCATTTGGGAAGTAAATTAGTATAGAAACTCTCAGGGCTGGTGCTGTGGCACAGTAGGTTAATCCTCTGCCTGTGGCACCGGCATCCCATGTGGGCGCTGGTTCTAGTCCAGGCTGCCCCTCTTCCAATCCAGCTCTCTGCTGTGGCCTGGGATAGCACTATAAGGTGCCATGTGGGCCCCTGTACCCACATGGGAGACCGGGAGGAAGCACCTGGCTCCTGGCTTTGGATTGGTGCAGCTCCGGCCGTTGCAGCCACCTGGAGAGTGAACCAACGGAAGGAAGACCTCTCTCTCTGTCTCTCCCTCTCACTGTTTATAACTCTACCTCCCAAATAAATAAAATCTTAAAAAACAAAACAAACAAACAAACAAGAGCCATGACTGACTACATGGTCTTCTTAACTTTCTTTGGCCCAATGAACCCAAGAAAACACCTTGTAAAGGGCACAAACCAACAGATTATACTAGGCCAGGGCATGATATTGGTCAGCCTCAAACTCTCTTAACATGGCTGCCTATGATTTCTCAGACACTGCAGTCTAAGGTGATAAAAAGGATGGACGGGGCAACCGAGTTATTTCACTGCAGTAGTCTGGATAGATGCTTGCAACATACTTGCTACCATGGTTTTATCAAATCCTGCTTTCTCAGCACACTGTGCCAGTAGAGTCATCCTGGGCCCATAGGGGAAGTATTCCTACTGGAGAGTCTGCATCCCAGCACCAATAAACACAACCACCAGCTCAGTTCTACTATTATTTATTTTTTTAAATATTTTTGAAAAAATATAATTTTTTTACAATATTTTCAACTTAAACACTATTCACACTGAACACGTATGGCAGCTTAACCTACCCAAATATGAAGTTTAAGAAGCCAAAACTGTTCTAGCTTTGTTAAAAGAAAAGTTGTGCTGCAGACTGTCGTGACGGTTAACAAAGCAAGGAAAAGCGCCACTCAAATCATGTCACAGTCTCTTTGTTCAACTGGATTCTGGGATGCTGTTGGTCATATGTTAGACTTCCCAAGGGCATAGTTATGATGCAATTCTCAAATTACATACTTCCTCAGATGTAACAGTAGGAGAATTCAGTATTTCTAACATGATAATACACCAGAAAAGCCAGGACTAGTTCTCAACTGATCAACTGACTGTTACCTTGTAACCTCAGTAACCAAAGAATTATTTCAAATTAACAGACCTTTTTCTAAGGGGTAAAAACAAGATTATTTTTGATAGGGACAAATGTAAATTTAAGTCTTAACTGAGAATGTGCTAAGCAATTAGAACTTAATTTAAATTTACTCATTTTTAAAAAAGGTTTTGGCATTAACAAGTGTGAGTTAACCGTACAGGACCAGTTCAGTCTCAAAGCTGACCAGTTAGTAAGATCTAGAGGTTGTTTCATTTGGTGCTTTGTCACAACTTGACTGGTGCTTTTTTCCTTGCTTTCTTCGCATCAAGCCAAGGGGCCAGTTCTACTTTCAGTAAATGTTTGAGAGCTTTTTACTTAATAACAGTCTCAGCACTTTTATTAAGCATGCAAGACTAACAAAAACTTTGGCAATGCATAAGTGTAACACAGTGACAAGAGAGAGCTTTTACAATTAAGTCTTCTAATACTGCCTTCACAGTGTGGAAATTGTGCTACATCCACCAAAAGAGGGCCCCGTCTACTCAAATATTTTAGTACTTCACCCCAGGAACAAACTCCTTTGCATTTGGATTCAGATTGCTCTTGACCTGGAAAATAAGTACATAGAAAAGCAAGTTCATTACAGATGGCTTCAGATACACAGAAGCATTCAACCTAGATCCACATGCAAAAATATCTTCCAAAAAAATGAGAAAAGCAAGAAGTCAAGAATATATGCTTACAGTTAACCCAAAAAGTCTACAGCAGAGCAAAGGAGGAAGCAGATGTAAATTATATATTGTATAATGTCAACCTTCTAAAGACGACACAGGAATTGAAATTGTTTGCTTACTTGTATTCAGAAACTCACTAACTTGCTTCACATAAGCTGAAGAAATAGCCCTGAACAAGTTAACTATATTTAACTTTCTTGTTGCTTTTAGAGCTTGTGAATATGTTAAAACAAATGTTGAAATTATGATTAAAGTTAAGTGCAAAGTTGTTGATACATTAATTTTATGATCCCCATCAAAAAATATAGAAGTATCTTTCTACAGCTGCTGTATTTTAATTCCCACAGGAAGCATGATATGTCACAGGAAAAGCAAAGAACAAGGGGAGCTAGAAGACATTAAGACTGAAATCCCCGCTCTCCTCTAGCTTCCTGTGTAAGCTGGGATAAATCAGTCTTTTTTTCTGTAAGTTAAGGAAAAAAAGAGAGTGATGAATGGCCTAATAATAGTGTGTCAAAGAGCCTCTAGAGACTTGTATCATTATTCTGTGTCTCTGAACCTTTACTTTCCTAAGCAGAAATGTCAGTATACAGGAAGAGGAGCTGGAAATTCCCCTTTAGTACATTTGGATTCCAAGTTGGTAAAGCTAAAATGTAGGGATGCTGGCAGGCTTTTCAATGGGACTAGACTCCTATATTGCTTAGTTTAAGACCAAAGCATATTCAAACATTTTGGAGCAATTATTTTTAGTTTCATAATTTATACACAACAATTTCCTTGGACAGGATATAGTCTTCCTTCCCCCAAGGGAAATATATCTGTATTTTAAAACTGTAAGGTTTAAATTAAAATGCAGTATTCTTCAATGTACAAACTTGGCAGCTGAACAAGAATGAGAATGAATTAAAGTAATCTAAAATAGTCTGAGAAGAAATCAGTTTTTGCATTATGGAATTACACTGACTCTAAACATTAAGTCTAGCAAAGAGCTTTATTCCTTTAGAGCTATCAACATGATTTCTAACATGGGTACTCAGATCATACTGTCATTTATTCCAGCCAAGGCCCTGCCGCAGTGTAAATCCCAGTGTTCTTAATATCGTCCTTTAGAAGAAGGATTTACCCTACAGGGTAGGCTGACTGTCTGATATCTCTGGAGTGCTACTAAAAACTCAACAGGCCGAGCACACTGACCCTGATACAGGACTGAGGAACTGACTTTTGTTTTTAATGCCTAACAGATAAATATGATGTATAGATTAGGAAACCACTGCACAGTGAACAGAAGAAATAACAAAATACAGTTCAGAGTCCACTGGGTAAATTCCAGAAAGCTATTCTGTATAAGCAACTACAGATTGTAAAAAGAGACAGAAAGGTTAATATTTGGATTTGATTTCACAAAATTATTTAATGTTAATTTCAGAGATCAAATCATCAGATACCATTCTATTTTAGTGCTAATGTTTAGATATCACAATTCCAAATACTTTTACTGCAAATATATTGTCAGCGATGAGACACTAAGAGTAACTTAAAATGCAAATCTAAGTGTGATCATCTTCTGAGAAGAGCTTGTAAAATTCCTTATTAAATCACAGTTCTAACTGTGTGCTCAGTGAAAACTCCATCACGAAAAGATCTCTAAAATTACACCTTCCAAATAAAATTGTGAAATATCACCAAATTTTTAAGATAAGATGAAAACTTCTCCATCAAGCTACTTTTGTATAGGCAAGTCACATGGTAATATTATTTTTCCTTTGACTAACTTTTAAGACATTTTAATATCCTAGGGCAACATCATGACTACAAAGAGCTGTCTAGCAGTCTGTTAATGGTCTAAGGCTAGCTGCACCGTGTTGCCAGAAGTCACTCCATGTCACAAGTGAAACTGGGAGGCCCTTGCTTCCACTCTAAGAAGTAGCGCAGTTTCTGAAGGGGAAAGAGGCAGAACTCTTCTTACAGAGATGGTGGCTGGCTTTTCCACTTATGGTAAAGATGAACTAGGATCTAAAAAGATGAAAAATAACTTTTTACCACAAGATCTTCCAGAGAAGAGCCATCACTGATAACAAGGTCATTAAACTGGTCTTGGATTTGGTCCATAGTCTGTGGGAGATCTCGAGCTGGAATAAACCACTCATGCTCTTCTTCTTCTTCCAGCATTTCTTGGAAACAGCGTTCAATAAATTCTTCTTCCCATAACTCCTCTTCTATCTAAATTTATAATAAATTAAGGATAATTTATAGCACATACGGTAGAATATTTCTAGAAAAAGCTTAAAATATTTTGAACTAAGCCATTTAAAAACACAATGTCATACTTTCTCCTCTGCTTCTGTGCTAAGGGGAAAAATACTTACCATTAAGACCCAGAAGATCTATTGAGGGTTTTTTCCATGTCTTTATTTAGATAAGAAGTTTCTTTTATTCACTGATGGTGGCAAAGAATGAGTAACAAATAAAAGAATGCTTGAAGGAATGTGTATTTGACTTATCTGTAATAATTTGATACTTAAAACTAGGTGGGCATGTATTAGAGAGCCGTAAATACACTGGGAGTATTAGAGTACACAGGTTTGAGTCCTGACAACCCTCTCCAGTTCAGCTTCTTGCTAATGAAGACCCTGAGAAGTAGCAGGTGATGGCTCAAGTAGTTGGTTCCCTGCCACTCACATGGGAGTCTCAGATTGAGTTCCTGGCTCCTGGCTTTGGCTTGGCCCAAGCCCAGCTGTTACGGGCATTTAGGGAGCGAAATGGCAGATGGGAGATTTCTCCTTTTGTCCCTCTGCCTTACAAATAAATAAAATTTAAAAACTACACAATCCCTAATACCAAACCCAATAGTAACCAAAACCAAAATTTCTAAGGGATAGAGTCAAAGCATGCTTTTTTTCTTTTTATTTATTTGAAAGGCATGTGTGTGCATGTGTACACACACACACACACACACACACACACACAGATCTTTCATGTGCTGGTTCATTTCCCAAATGTCTGCAACAGGTGGGGCTGGGTCAGGCCAAGTTAGAAGCTTGGAACTCAATCTGGGTCTTCCACATGGTGGCAACGAAACAAATACTTGAGCCACCATTTGCTGCCTCCCAGAGTGCACATTAGCAGAAAACTGGAATTAAAAGTGAAGCTGGAACTAGAACCCGGGCACTCTGCTACACCAAATACTCATTCCTGGCTAATCAATCAAACAAAAACCCACAACTGATTCTCACTGAAATAAGACTGTTTGGGGGTCAGCACTGTGGCACAGCAGGTTAAGCTGCCCACTGTGATGCCAACATCCCATATGAGCACCAGTTTGAGTCCCAGCTGCTCTTTCAGTTCAGCTCCCTGCCAATACACCTGACAAAGCAGTGAAAATGGCCCAAGACCTTGGCCTCCTGCCAACCACATGGGAGACCTAGATGAAGTTCCTGGCTTCTGGCTTCAGCATGTCCCAACCCCAGGCATTGCAGGCATTAAGGAGTGAAACAGCAGATCTAAGATTTTCTCTCTCTCTGTGACTCTGCCTTTCAAATAAATAAACAAATCTTAAGGAAAAAAAGACAACCATTTTACTTTTGAATATCTAACATTGGACATGGAGAAATCAAGCTGGCTTCTGATTACCAAAGCCATGATAAGGGAGAAATTATAAGATGGGAACAGATGCCAGAGACATTAAAGAGAATATCTGCCACTGTATGAGAGTTGACAGATTTCCGAGAGTAAAATACACTGATGATGTCAGGCGAAACACAGCTTAACTGCACCGGGAGATCTGTTGTCTCCTGATTCCTGAATTCTCTTGATTGGCATTACAATACAGTAATCTGATTGGTACAAGGCAGTGGTTTCCAAACCTGAATGCTGACTGGAACCAGCTGGGAGGTTTTTTTGTTTTGTTTTGTTTTGTTTTTTTGACAGGCAGAGTGGACAGAGAGAGAGAGACAGAGAGAAAGGTCTTCCCTAGCCGTTGGTTCACCCCTCAATGGCCGCTGCGGCTGGCGCACCACACTGATCCGATGGCAGGAGCCAGGTACTTATCCTGGTCTCCCATGGGGTGCAGGGCCCAAGTACTTGGGCCATCCTCCACTGCACTCCCTGGCCACAGCAGAGAGCTGGCCTGGAAGAGGGGCAACCGGGACAGAATCCGGTGCCCTGAGTGGGACTAGAACCCAGTGTGCCGGCGCCGCAGGCGGAGGATTAGCCTAGTGAGCCGCAGCGCTGGCCAGCTGGGAGTTTTTAAAAAACACTTTCCCAGGTTCCATCCTAGTCTTGAATCAGACTCTCTAGGGTGGGACCTAGAAACAAGCTCTCCAAGTAATTTTAATGAGCAGTTAAACCTTGTCGTAGTCAACAGCCAAACAAAATAGAGGAGTACAGGCATATAAATCTATGTCAGCATTCCATATGGGCCCTGGTTTGGGTCCTGGGTGCTCCACTTCCAATCTAGCATCCTGCTAATTGCCTGAGAAAAACAGAGGAAAGTGGTCCATACTTGAGTCTTTGCCACCCACGTGGGACACCTGGAATGAAGCTTGTGGCTTCTGGCTTCAGCCTGGCCAAGTGCCAGCCATAGTGGCCACCTGTGGGAGTAAACCAGCAGATGGAAGATCTCTCTGTCTCTCCTTCTCTCTTTGTAACTCTTTCAAATACATAAATCAATGTTTTAAAAATTACAAAATAAACACATTTCAGAGATAAGTATAATCATATTATTTGAGTGCTATAATGGGATACATAAAAGAACATGTTTGTAAAACTAACTTGTCTGTTGAATTCCTCTTCATTCTCCATCCACATGTATTCTGCAAACGGATTGTCATCTTCATGAGAATGACCGTTAATAATCACATCTTCATTGATGATGCTTGGGCTAGTACTGCTGCGACTTGGATCTTTCATGGTTGGCGTTGTTTGTCGTTTTTAACCTTAAAAGAAAAACAATCTAGTTAATTGATGCATTCTTTTAGTAAGTATTTATTATTACTAGGCATCATGGTTAAATCTTCTCTTTTTTAAAATTAACTAATTAATTTATTTATCAGAGAGGCAGAGTGAGGGACAGAGAGCGAGTGTGGGTGCACACACAATGATTTTTCCATCTGCCGGTTCACTTCTTAAATGGCCCCAAAAACCAGCTGGGCTAGGCCAAAGGCAGGAGCCAGGGACTCCATGCTGATCTCCCATATGGGTGGCAAGGGCTCAAGTACTTGGGTCATATTCTGCTGTTTTCCCAGGTTCATCAGCTGGGACCTGGATTGGAGGTGAAGTAACCATGACTCCAAGTAGCACTCCTATATGGGATGCTGGTATCACAAGTGGTGGCGTAACCTTCAGCACCCAAAGCCAGCTCCCATGATGTCTTAGACACACATGATATATTAAGAAACTGGAAAGCTTCCTATATTTTTCCAAATGATTTTAAGAAACAGTTGAGGGGCCGGTGCTGTGGCACACTAGGTTAATCATCTGCCTGTGGCGCCGGCATCCCATGGTGGATGCCGGTTCTAGTCTCAGCTCCTCCTCTTCCAGTCCAGCTCTCTGCTATGGCCTGGAAAAACAGTGGAGGATGGCCCAAGTGCTTGGGCCTCTGCACCCACATAGGAGACCCAGAGGAAGCACCTGGCTCCTGGCTTCGGATCGGCGCAGCTCCAGCCGTTGTGGCCACTTGGGGAGTGAACCAACGGAAGGAAGACCTTTCTGTCTCTCACCGTTCGTAATTCTGCCTGTCAAATAAATCTTAAAAAAATAGAAAGAAAAAAAGAAAGAAAGAAAAAGTTAAGTGGATTAACCTAGTTTCTGATAACTGCAAATGAAGGTAATCAATTTACATGGAATCTCCAAACCATCCCATTTATTCTATATTTGGGTATTCCCTGCTTTCCAAAAACAAGTATGCTCTGGAAAAATCACCATTAAGTGAAGCAATGAGGAGCAAATACTTTTTAAAACTGATTTAAAAGATTCCACAGATTGTTTATATTCATTAAATAAAAGTTAAAAAAAAAAAAAAGATTCCACAGATTGGAAATGAAAACTTTTTTTTTTTTTTTTTTTTTTGACAGGCAGAGTGGACAATGAGAGAGAGAGACAGAGAGAAAGGTCTTCCTTTTGCCAATGGTTCACCCTCCAATGGCCACTGCGCTGCGGCCAGCGCACCGCGGTGATCCGAAGCCAGGAGCCAGGTGCTTCTCCTGGTCTCCCATGGGGTGCAGGGCCCAAGCACTTGGGCCATCCTCCACTGCACTCCCTGGCCACAGCAGAGAGCTGGCCTGGAAGAGGGGCAACCGGGACAGAATCCAGTGCCCCGACCAGGACTAGAACCCGGTGTGCCGGCGCCGCACACCGGGTGGAGGATTAGCCTAGTGAGCTGTGGTGCCGGCCGAAAACTAACAAACTTTTAATAACCTCTTAATTCCTCTGTCTCAAAATGCAACTCTGGAACTCTCCTTCATGCCTACACTCTATATGCTTAGTCTTTTTCTTTAAGATTATTTGTTTATTTGATAGAGTTACACACACACACACACACACACACACAGAGAGGGAGGGAGGGAAGGAGGGAGGTCTTCTATCTGCTGGTTCACTCCACAACTGGCTGCAATGGCCAGAGCTGCACCCATCAGGTGCAAGGAGCTTCTTCTGGGTCTCCCATGTGAGTGTGGGCCCAAGGACTTGGACCATCTTCTACGGCTTTCCCAGGCCATAGCAGAGAGCTGGATTGAAAGCGGAGCAGCCAGGACTCGAACCAGTGCCCATATGGGATGCTGGCACTGCAGGCGGCAGTTCTACCCGCTATGCCACAGCACCGGCCCCCTCTGTATGCTTTTTTCTATGAGTCTATGTTAAGCTACTCCATGTCTCCATTTCCCTGTTGTACACTGAGTTTCAGGCAACCAGCGATGAGTAACGTACAGTAAATGGCAAACATGAACAATTCCTGCATTGAACAGAGCCTAGGTCAGCCTTTTACTCACTGTCTTCTCATTAACAACCTCTGGCTTCAGTATAAAGAATTTATGAAGAAAAGGAAATTATTTTCAGTTCAGCAGTCTTTGGAAAATAAATCATAACTGAACCAACCAACATGAAATACAGCCTGGGTACTAATCTTACACGGTGAGACAGCCGAGGGAAGGAACAACAGCTTACCGGATTGTTTGCTACAGCCAGCCAATGAACACCAGAAAGGTACGGATCATCCACTTCTTTAATGCTGACAAGCCTAAATAGTCATTGGGCTAAATGAATCTTACTATGTGGCAATATGTTAGATTTTTACTTTTCTTCTCTGACCTGTTCTTATTTCTGTGAAGTGTGTCCTTTGTATGTTCGTGTCTTTTACTCTTTGTAAAAGTTGATAGAGGGGCAGGTGTTTGATCTAACAGTTAAGATACTACTAGAAGGCCGGCGCCGCGGCTCACTAGGCTAATCCTCCTGCGGCGCCGGCACACCGGGTTCTAGTCCCGGTCAGGGCACCGGATTCTGTCCCGGTTGCCCCTCTTCCAGGCCAGCTCTCTGCTGTGGCCAGGGAGTGCAGTGGAGGATGGCCCAAGTGCTTGGGCCCTGCACCCCATGGGAGACCAGGAAAAGCACCTGGCTCCTGGCTCCTGCCATTGGATCAGCGCGGTGTGCCGGCCGCAGCAGCCATTGGAGGGTGAACCAACGGCAAAAAGGAAGACCTTTCTCTCTCTCTCACTGTCCACTCTGCCTGTCAAAAACAAACAAACAAAAAAAAAAGATACTACCACCAGAGACATCTGTGTCTCATATCCTCTGCTTTGGATTTAGCTCCTGCTGAGGAACACGTTAAGAGGCAGCAGGCAGGCTGGTGCCGTGGCTCACTTGGTTAATCCTCCGCCTGTGGCGCTGGCATCCCATATGGGCACCAGGTTCTAGTCCCGGTTGCTCTTCTTCCAGTCCAGCTCTCTGCTGTTGCCCGGGAGGGCAGTGGAGGATGGCCCAGGTGCCTGGGCCCCTGCACCCGCGTGGGAGACCAGGAAGAAGCTTCTGGCTTCGGATCGGTGCAGCGCCGGCCGTGGCGGCCATTTGGGGAGTGAACCAATGGAAGGAAGACCTTTCTCTCTGTCTCTCTCTATATATCTCTGTCTATAACGCTACCTGTCAAAAAAAAAAAAAAAAAAAAAAAAAAGATAGGCAGCAGGCAAAGGCTCAAGCACTTGCTTTCCTGCTCCTCACATGAAGACCTTGATTGAGTTCTGGACACTTGGCTTTAGCCTGGCCCAGCTTCTACTGTTGTGGCTTTTTGGGGATCTGTCTGTTTCTGCTTTTCAAATAAATGACAATAAATACATTTTAAAAATTGAGATATAGTTCATATACCATAAAATCTGCCATTTTACATTATCCGGTCCAGTGGTTTTTTTTTTATAAGATTATGCAACCATCACAATGACATAATCTAAGAACATTTTCACACCTCTAAAAAGAAACCCTGGGGCTGGCGCCGTGGCTCACTTGGTTAATCCACCGCCTGTGGCGCCGGCATCCCATATGGGTGCCGGTTCTAGTCCTGGTTGCTCCTCTTCCAGTCAAGCTCTCTGCTATGGCCTGGGAAAGCAACAGAAAATGGCCCAAGTGCTTGGGCCCCTGCACCCCCACATGGGAGACCAGGAAGAAGCAGCTGGCTCCTGGCTTCGGATCGGTGTAGCTCCAGCCATTGCGGCCATTTGGGAACTGAACCAACAGAAGGAAGACCTTTCCCTCTCCCCACCCCCACTGTCTGTAACTCTACCTGTCAAATAAATAAATAAAATCTTAAAAAAAAAAAAAAAAGAAAAGAAACCCTGCCTCCATTAGCAAACATTCTCCATTCACCCTAGTCTCTGGGAACCACCAATCTTCCATCTCTATGAACTTGAGCTGGGTCAATCTGAAGTCAGGAGCCAGGAGCTTCCT